GCCTATAGAAGGAGTTCCCAATTCTGACAACTTCAAACTTGGGATCCTGGCTGAAGCAGGAGCAAGTGTGAGGCTGAGCAAAAGGGAAGTGAGAGAAATCTGCAGTGCCTCGATGTTCTGGGCTAGTGCCATGGCATGGATCTGCTTGGCTTAAGCTGAGACAAAGGCTTAGGCGTTGTGTTGGTATGTGTGGTCATGCTTTCCATGCCGCTGGCACAGGACCGTACAAGCTCACAGACCGTAGACGCTGTTGCACAAAATCAAACTCCGAACAAGCTGAGTGACAAATTCATCGTAGGACGCCCTCTCTCTGCAGGCCCGGTGTGAAGGCGAAGGCACGAAACTGTGGTGCGATGTACGAGGCGTGGACACATCGGAATGCGCTCAGCTCGGAGACCTTTTTCGCAAGCTCGGGTTCAGACATCGCAGTATCGGTCAATCTTTCGCTCGGAAGCTCGTGCAAACTGTCAGCGACGCATGCTGACGAAGCTGCTGCTATTGCTCTGCTGTTGCCAGTCAAGTTCTGCAAGGCGTCATTACATGCTGCAAGCTGCCATTGCTGCCAATGTCTACTCCCGTGTATATATGCTGCCTTGCTGAGACTTGCTCAGTTTCGAGGCCTGCAGTTTTTGCAGGCCATGGAACCCTACGCCAGGAGCAAAAAGCCGCGACAGCCAACGCGCCGAAATCATTCAGGCTCCCTTGACCTCAGAGCGGCTGAAGCGATCGGGCATCGAGTCCAAGCGGAAGTTAGCAAAGGAGGACAAGGTCACAAGCACCCGTGTGCACGAGGTTTCGATCTTCCGAACAGGAAACTGAGCGCAGAGCTCGCCATACCCATTTGTTCGGGCCCACCCCTGATCCTTGCCATCTCCTGAGCATGGCTGATACTGTACTGCGGGGACGCAAANNNAGATTCGAGGGCCGGGCGGGTGGGAGTCCCACCAGTTGTTCTGGCGGGAGCCAGGCTCATGCCGGTACCTGCGCGCATGGCGCCGGCACAGTTCGGTGATTCATGCGATTACGTGACCATGCCACGCAACTTCCGCCACTAAGAGACCTGCCACGACGATCTTGGCCAGCTTCCTGGCATGCTCTGACAGCACTGACCACATGCTAACCCGCATCCGACACCCAAAGCCGCCTTTCGGGCGCTTCTTCGTCCTGAAGTTGGGCTTCCAGCTGTTCTGGATGCCGCCACCGGCCCCTGCAAGAAGAATAATCAAACCAAATCCTGTGGATTGTCATCAACTCCGGCCATGCTGAAACTTCTCCCTGATATGCGCAGAAGCAAGCACGGAAGCAATTCGATATAGTCCGGCCACCCTTGAAGGTTAGAAAAAACAATGGACGGCATTGGCCTTGAACAGGTCCCCCGGCGCGCACCGGGGCTGGGGCTGCTGAAGTTGCTGAAACCTTCAGCATGCGGAGCGCCGAAGAAGCGACGCACACACACACACGCACACACAAAGCTGTGCGCGCAAGGCCTGTGGTTGCGTTGTTGCCCAACCTCGGCAGTGCAGGTTTCTGCTGATCCTTTTCCCTCATGCGTGTCATGCCGACCGCACTGCAACTTCCTGTGACGAGTGGCAGCCCAGCAGAGGAGCTTGCGTGCCCTCAGAGCTGTGTTCCAACGGCACACTAATCTCCTTGCTGTGCTGGCCATGCTGGCTGAGTTCGCAGCAGCTCCGAGCTGTGGGAAGTCCTGGGTGGGAGCCAGCTAGCGAGATCTGCACGAAGGCTCGAGCAGTTCCGACACTTGGCTTCTCGCATCCGCCGCCCAAGTGAACATTCCTGCAGGAGACAGGCAAAGGCTGCACTGCCACGAGCGGCAGCGGAAGCACGCAAGCCGAGGGCCAGGCTGGACCGCGGCAGACCGCGGGAGGGCAGGATTGTGCACGTTGGCAGACTATAGTCTTTCTTGTTCCAAGAGCAGCTGCGATTCTCAGCGATCGGGACCGAAAGGACATGAAAGCTGCTTGTGACACGAGTAACGGTCCTGCAAGAGACTACGACTACGACGTCCGCTTTACTCGCAAACAACTCTCATTCTCTGTTCGGACTGCCAGTGTACTCTCATCACTTCGCAGTTCGGACGTTTTCCGTCTGCATCGCAGTCCTGATCTCATCTGCAGCAACGTCCAGGTCCTCAGGGACATCGGCGTGCAACCGATTTGCATCCGAGCTTTGCTTTCATCAGATACACATCACTTCGGTTTCCAGGAGCTGGGCCGCAGTGATGCCAAGAAGCACAGCAGGTGCAGCAGCCTGGCAGGAAGTTGATGGACTCTGAAATAGTGTTTCGTCACTCTCTCTATCTCGCCAGGCTCTCCGAATGCTTCGTAGAGCTGCAACTCCCTGTCCTTTGGGGTGAGTTAAGTTACCGCTCGAGGTTTCCGTAGGATCGAACTGCGACATGCTACAACGAGGCATGCATTGCCAACTTGAATATCATCTCACGAGATCAAGATCACCAGTTTTCTAGATCGGGCGTATGCAGTGCAACATAGAAGCGATGGGCAGACGTCGACCTGGGATGCTTTCAAGTTCTCCATCAGAGACTCGGCATCATCAAGCAGGGAGGGATCCTGAGTCTGAGGCAACTTCTGCTGCGGATTCTACTGCAGGTATATGCAGATTTTGTTCACGCTTTATCGTGTGCTCGCCGCGGTACCTGAATGGTCTTGTCCGTCCCCATCATGTGAAGGCAAAGCTCCTGAAGCACGGGCTGTGGCCACGAATGCCTGAACAACCTGCCCGTGCTGTCGGCTTTAGAAGTCCTGAAGAATGAGGACCTGGAATTGCATGGCAAGCCTGGCCAATGAAGTATAGTGTCTGGCCCACAAGTGAACTTGTGGGGAAGCGCCTGTTGATGGGAGGTGATGACTGAACATGCCTGGTTAGTCAAATGCCAAACGAGTCGATCCATCTCTGAGCAGTCGGCCTTGATGCGAAGGCGACCTGCGACTTGGACTTAACAGTTCCGACGGCTGACAGGCGGGTTTGTCTCCGCCGCTTGCGGCTGGGAAGCCTCGGATCTCCACGCGGCAGCGACATCGTCTGGACTTGTGTCAGCCTCCGGCAACCCGACAGGTTTGTTCAAGAATTCGATTGCAAGCGTGACGATGCACTCTCTCCTGTGGCCGTGCCTGGTACTCCAGCATGAGGCTCATCAATTGCCCCCGGAAAGCCCAAGGCGCCTTCAACGTACCGCATGTGGCAGCTAGACCTATACCGGTTCACAGAGGCTTGGTTGATGGACATGCGTACTGGAGGCCATGTAAATTTAACGAGCGAGATGCCTCGAGATGTGGAAAGGTAGCCAACAATTCGCCTGCCAGTTGCCATTCCTGGCAGCCAAATCTCAGACTCTCCGCCCGTATAAGTCAATCAATCGCAGCTGCCACCTCATTGAAGGAGGTTTCTTCCACTGGCCGCTTACTTAGCTGCCGCTGTAGTCGGACAAGCCTCAGTGCTTCTCTGGCTATGCCTATAAGTCCGTTGTGGTCAAGCCGCTACAACAACTCGGAGGTCACTGCCGATGATGGAAAAGACCGTAGTGGGACGGTGTCTGGAAGGCCTGCGATGCTGTCAACAGCTATGCAAAGCCATCTCACAAGTGTGGATAAACTGGGAGCGGACCAACTTTGGGAACTTCTTGTCTAGCATTGACGCCTGAAGTGGAGAAAAGGGCCGTTTGAAGCCGCAGCCGCAACTCATCGCAAGGCCAAGGCGGCTCCCGGAGACTCCGCGACGAAGCGATTTAACCTCAGCTCTGAGCCGCGCGGCTGCGGCGCGTCACCGTGTCCCGTTCTGCGAGTACCGTTTTCTCTCCAAGAGCCTGGCCATGCCCAGTGGTTCCAGGCATAGTAGTGGTGGTCGTATCTCGGTCGCAATATGTCGCATCTGGCTTGGACTCCTCTTTCGGATTCTCTTTCGTTGCCTTCTGGCGAGCTCCTCCAAAAGCGTCAACTCCTGACAAAGATGGGCATTGCGATGCCTGCTGGGACTGAGCAGACTGTGTGGATGCGACCAACTCTGAACAACGTTGCTCTAGCGTTGTCATCGTCTGTCTTCCGAATTGCTGCGCCTCGCACAGCAGCGTCTGCTGCTCGTCCTCCCAAAAGCCACGCTGTGACTAAGACTACGTGACTACTACGTGACTACATGTTGTGAATTCTGTGTTGCATTGTCTGACATTCGATCAACATTCGTCGACAAATGTGCCATGGCTGGCCTGCGACACAGACCGAAGCACAGAAGCCAAGAGCTTGCGCCGCTGTGCCCAAGTCTCACCTAAGCTTCAGAAATTAAATCATCATGCCGCGTTCTTCTGTGCATCCAACACAGCTCAGCTGCAAGCCGCTTTTATGGTTCGTTCTCAACAGCAGCGCGCTGAAGAGCAAACCCGCCTCCGCCCGCATGATCCCGCATGGCCACGCGAGGGCGCAGCTTTTCTTCGGGAGAGTTTTCGGACCGGCCTTCGGGGAAAGGCTTGAACTTCGCGTCCGGTTCCATGCGTTCCATGCACCTCGTGTCACTGTAAGTGCCGGCAAGTGCCTACGACTATGCAGCAATCATGTTATTTGGCAGCACACCGGAGCAGTCCGCGCTGCAAAGCAGAATGGCCCTTGAGCTTTCGTGGATCCGCCGTATCTGAACCTGAGCTGTACACTTTGACCTGAACAGTGATCAGTAGAGTAAAAACTCTATACAAATCATTACAGATCTGCCGACATGACTCATGCGTGCGGCCCAGGCACCGTGTCTGCTGAGTTTTCCGAGTAGCCGCTCGCTGCATGCCTTGACACCTGCTCCCAAGGATCCCGTACGAGCAATAGCATAGCATGCGAAACGGGTCCAAACTGTCTGGCCTGATAAGCATGTAAGTACAGGGCCAATGCTGCCTAGCACAGCTTCGCATGGTGCACAGGAGGAGTGAAGCCATCAGTGCTATGGCTATGTGCCTCGATGGAGATAGCAAGCTTGTGCTCCGCATGTACGCAGCCAAGATCCTCAAGTCGAGCCATTGGGATCTCACGAGACATCCGGCGGCACACGGCGTGGTCCTGCTGTCCATCTGCGCCGGGCGAAAAAAGTTGGGGTGTTGCGGCCGGCACGAATGCATACCTTGTCAAGGAAGAAGCAGCAAATGTCATCTCAGCGATCAGAACTCAAGCTGACCGCAGCCAGGAAGCTCGTCGATGGCCGGATCTGCGACGAATGCTCCATTAAGCTTCTCTAGAAGCGCTGCCATTGCACACTGCTTTGAACGGCATGGACTGGCATGTCGGGTGCTTGTGACATCTTCTCATACTGCTCGTACCTACAGAGCATAAGCGCGACTGAGTGCAGTCTGCGTGCAGTCTCGGTCTACTAGTCTATTGTCTTGCCAAGTTCAAGATGCAACAAGGTAAGATCGACATGACGAGATGCCTGCATTACTCCGAAGGTCCAATCGGCTCAATGCAGGAAGCAAGGCGCGAGCTTTTCAGAAATGCACCATGTCGGTTTGTCGGGTCCTGGCTCCTCAAAGCTGAACCTGCAGGTCAGCAGTTGGAGCAGAAACAAGGATGCTTCCGTGACAAGGCCTCGTTGTCGTACGGGAAAGGCATCTCCAAGTCCTTCTTTCCAAGAAGAGGTTGACCTTATAGAGTGTCCAGCACTCAACAATGACAACAGATGCAACAGCATGAAAGTACGCCCTGATCTTCTCGTGCGAAGGGAGCCCACCATCTCGCATGGCCATCCTCATTCTGTGCCAGACCTGGAAAGCTACGTTACACTTCACTTGAAGCTTGGGCCCGCTGTGACAGCGCCCGCCTTTCTTCCCTCATCGGTCTGGGTGAGGAAGTAGGCCTCAGGAAGATGCTGGCCCAAGCCTAAGCGCCCCTCCCTCTTCTCCTAGAGGGCCATGGCCAGTGCCAGAAGCAGCAGTATCGCCAGCGCCTGACTCTCACGGGAGCCCCGACCTCCAGAACTGCAAAAGCGCTTTAAGCTCAGCACGTTGTAGCTAGTCCACCAGCCTAACAGGACAGATGCCTTCCGGTGCTGCGAAGGCTACGAGGCTTCACATGCTGAGCATCCGTCTGTGAGAGCCGAGGCGGGGTGCGGTACTCGGCTTGGGTCCAATCTTCTGGGACATCTGCAAGGGCCAGGGGTCGGGCGAAACCTTCCACCTTCTCTATGAGGTTTGGCAAGTGCCTGGGAAAGCAGTGACTCGATCTTGTCGGCATCTTTGGCCAACTGATCCTGCGATGGCGCTGCACGCTCTCGCGGCTCGAGAGACGGAATCTCCTTGATCCCTCCGTCCTCCGCCTGTCTTTCGGCATCCTTTATCATTGAGACCACGGACGGGCCCTGCAGGTGCCATGCTGACGAAATGCTTTAAGCGGCCACACGACTTTGTTTCTGCCTTGGTTGTGAGGCTTGCCAGCTTAGAATCCAGGGTCTTCTCCTGATCGCTTCGGGCGGAGCATTCATCGGAAGACTTGCTTCCATTTGGGGGTGCGTCGAAATGCTCGCGAGCTGTTCACGGGTTGTAATGCAAGCATCACGTTGTTTCGGAGCGATGTGGGAGCCCGGTCCCTGTCTGAAGCTCGCCCGGCAGGATGCTGCGCAAGCAAAGCCTGGTGGTGCACAGCACAAATTTACACAAGCCGGGACATGCAGCAAAAGCCTGGCTACATGCCTCGCTTGCCTGAGGAGCCGGTGTTGCCGCTGCCTTGACAGTGTTCATAGCAGTGATGGCCTGGCACACAACTGAGATTCCAGTTCGGGTGCTGGAATAGCCAGCATCTGCCTTGCTTGTGGCAAGGACCGCATCTTTGCAGTCTGCACCGACGTCATCCATGTGCTTGTGCAAGCAATCCAAAATGCCTGCCTCCAGCAGTGCACGAACACAAGCCTTGCGGTGTGTGCTTGAACTTTCGCCACACCCGTGCCTTCAAAATGTCGCAGTACTTGTCAATGGCACTGCTACAGCGAAAAGGGACCTGACGTCTCCAGCAGAAATGTGCTGTGCACACCCGGCACCGGTACGGAATTACTGTGAAACCTGTTCACATGTGAGTAAACCTCATTAGCCACATGAGCGTGAGCAGGATCATGCCGTTTGCTACATCTCTGCTTTGGGATGTCCAACATCTGTGAGCGGGCTGCGCCTGTGAACAAGCTGTTGTCTTAATTATTCAACGCCGCCTGAGGGGTGCGCTGACTTCCCCACGTCCCGTCGGCAGCTGTCTGAGATGACTCCACCTGATTGGTGCGAGACGGCGCCGCGAAGGTGGTCGCCGACATATCTCGGTCTCCCGCTGTTCTGCCCAAGACAGTGGATCTGAGATCTTGCCTGAAGGTGCAGGAATCAAGGGAGCTGCATCCCAACGGGCATCGATCAGCGTGTAGAAGTGTGGCGCGGGCCTTGGGACAGAGCGACGACACCTCCTGGTCAGGAGCAATGATTTGGCGGCTGAGAGCCCAGGTAAGGTTGGAAAGAACCTCGAGCCTGCTGACAAGACAGTGGCGCCATGCTGGCGGGCTGCATCTGGTGTATGACTGGCGCAACAACCTCCTGGAGTCAGCATCGACGATGGAAAGAGCAGAGATACTCCAACACGGCCTGCACCACATTGTCCATTGAGCTCCTTGCAATCTCACGCCGAGCTTGAAGCGATTTCGGGAGGCTGCGGGGTGAGGTGGGCATCCCAAAGTCCCCTGGCAACATGTGTTTGAGATTTGCATTTCGTCACCTTTGCATTCTGCTATAGCGTGTGTCGGAATGCAAAGCAACAAACGCATTTCCGTCATGACTGGATTTGTCGGCTGTATTCGGCCAAGCAAAAATCCACTCCCACACCGACCCACATCCACAACCGAGTGGAACGCAAATTTCGCGGGCTGCAGCAATGTCGCCGTTACAAACGGTCAGTGCTTACAAGGACGTTTCTATCAGTAACCTGACCTGACATTTCAACCGATAAGCTGCGGATTTCTAGAATTGTCGTGATGGGTTGCCGCTCGGACCTGGAACCAAAGGTCTTTGCTTGTGGCCGCGATGGTGATGCTAGCATTCTGCAGAGAACCTACATTCACCTCCATTTACGATCTAAGCTTCTGGCAGCATGTCCATGACCATTGGGTCAGGTTCTTGCAAAGACTGTGTGCCACCTTGCAAAGCAGATGCATCGTCTGTGCAGCTTTTATGCGAACCTTGCCTCTGTCGTTGCCGAATTCGAACTGCACAGGTCCTGGGAAAAGCTCACGAACAGCCTGCCAGGCCACTGCAAAGAAAGATGAAGACCGAAGGATATCAAGCGCAACATGCCCGATGCGGCTTCAGCTTGTATCGGTCCAGGTTGAGCATCCTGACAGGCACTGCCGAACATTACAGCATGGTCTACACTCTCTGCGCCTACCTAGTGCGTGGACTGTCCTATAAACCCCAGGCAGAAGCCTCATTGATGATTTCGATTGCAAAACCTGGCTGGGCACCGCCACTTACCTTGGCACGGTGAGCCAGCTTTGAGCGACTTTCACTGGCACGCCATAAAAATGCACTTGAGCCGGGCCCGGCACCAAGCTTTGGAGCTTCTGATCGAGCTCTTGCTCTCGGGACCCGCTTTGGGGCTGTGAAGGCCTCGGGAGGGACGGAGTGCTGCGATGTGCTACGTTGGCCGCGGGACTGGGAGCCGATGTGCGAGGCCCGAGGCTGAAGCCCGGTCTGGAAGATAACCGGCTGAGCCTGAAGCGAACCCATAAAAATAAAAGCAGATCCATAGAGGGACCAACGTGAAGCCTGGCCAGCCGCTTGCAACTGGTCGAAGAAAGCCTTCGGATTTCAAACTCGCCACCTACTTCGGCAAATCTGAGTGCAGTTGCAGGCCTTGTTAAAAACGGATTTGAAGTCGTCATCTGAACCGCACCAAATGCGCAGTGGAAAACCTTCCCCAAACTTGTGTCAGGTCGAGTTACTTCTGAGCTTTGCAGGACGTGTGTGCTGGTTGCATGAAAAGACCAGCATTTGCAGTTCTCTAACAGCTGCAAACAGTAGTCTGAGGGTGGTCACCAGCAAGCACCAAGACCAGTCGGATCATGGGCCTGTTCGCCACACTTGGACAGTCTGCAGCGCAGCCGACTGCTCTAACGGAAGGCCAACCGTCTTATGCCAAGAATATGACGAACTTCTGTGCGGAAGCGCCAGCCTCGGCGGCTTCAGCGCACCGACCAGTGGGTGAGACGGCGAGCCGGACGATCCTAGTCCTACTTCCTTAGTGAGGCTTGTTATCTAGGGACTGGATGTGTTGCACAAGATCTCTGCTTCTGAGTGTCTTAGCTCCCCATGCGTGTGGTTGCTTCACTTTATGTCCGCCGTTTTCCTTGCACTCTCGTGGTTCTGGCCCGCCCACCCCTAGAACCTGCAGGGTATCTCTGGAGCAGCTACCCTAAAGTCCTTTTATCTTACACATCCCTGGAACGCCCAACCCAGCCAGAGCACAGAAAAGGGAACATGAGTGGTCGCTGGCGGCCAGTAGAGTAGTCACTCGAGGGTGGGGCTGTTCGGACTGGATAGTCTGATGCGTAGTTCTTTCATCTTTGCCTTTGCCAATGTCGTGGGCACTTCTCGCTGCAATGTTCGACATTCACATACAGCAGCTGAACTCGACGGATGGTCTCGTGCTAGGGCTTTCCCTTTCATCTTGACGGTTCTCGAACGTTTTCATGTGACATGGCCCACGCGCTGGGCATGAGAGATGGAAGGAGCTGCGCTGTGCGGCTGCTTGCTAGACACGCAGAGGTGTGCCACAGAGCAACTCTCGCTTTTGCTGCATTCATGCCACCTGAGAACTTTGCTCTGCGGCCTCTCTTGGCTTTCGCTTCCGGGTGGCCTGAGGCTTCATCCCCACGGGTCATGTGGATGCGCAAGGCCGAACAATAGCATGAATGGTCTTATCGCAAACTTGAAGAATTTGAGCGTGTACCTCAAGCTCAGGATGCCACCATATGGTTCAGATCTGCAGTGATCTCGCAAGCTCCAGGCGCGGGTGCCTCGGTCCCGCCGGACTTGACAGTCTGACATGCAGTTCCTTTCGCCCTCTGCTGCTCTTCTTGCTGGCTGCTGCTTCTGTTGCTGGCCGTGCCTGTCGCGGTGAGCGATTTCGTCCATTATATTGCGAAGTCCATGGAGTTGTGTGTCAAATGTCGTAGCTGAACATCTTCAGCCCTGGCCAAAAAACCAATTTTGTTCAACATCATTGGTGATTGTTGCGTTGCGGCCATCAGTTGAGCCTCGGTCTCGGATTGTCTATTGTCATGAGCTTTTCACATACTGCGAGGCATATTACAGCGCCTTTCCGACCACGACGCCGCCCCCAGTCTTGTCTTGCATTCACCCGAGAAGTGCACGACCTGTGCTTCAACGCTGTGCGCCCCTCGTTCATACCAGGGTCCGTGCTCAACTCCTGGACCAGGCGTTGTTGGGCAACTCATTGTTGTGATCGAAATCCAGTAGCCCCGGAAATACCGATACAAAGGCCACCTCACAGGCACAGATGTTACATGGACAGTTGATGAATGAGCTTGAATCATTTACTTTCGGTGATATTCTACGCTTTTGCCTCTTGCAATAGCCACCACGACTGTTCAAGCAAGACGATTAAATCATCCCCCCTTCCGCTCCCGCACCCCAGGACAACTTGAGGACGCCAAGCCTCTCTTGGGCCACGACATAAACAGCACCTGACCTGTTGAAACCCCTGCAAAAGTCGAGATAATTGAGATATTCGTTTGGCTGCCGCACGTCTGATGTGCTGCAATCTCTGCGCGCGAAGGCGAGCCGAGAAGCTGACTGTTGTGAAGAACTCGCATGTCGAGGCTCTGCTGGGGAACTCCTTGGGCATGTCCGGGAAAAGACCAAGAGATGCCATGCTTCACTCACTGCAGGGATGCCTTCAAGTATGCCTCCTTCCACTTGCAGATGAAATCACTTGATTCTGTCGCGTGCACCAAAGCCTCGATCGGCACAGCTGACACAGCGTGGCACAGCACTGCACAGCAGCAGTTCATTTTAGCAGCTTGGACAGCCGCCCACACGCTTCCACCGAACCCGGCGCCGAAGGCTGAGGCCGCGATTGCTCCCAGCCGCCGTGCCTGGGACTGCACTGCACGGGTCCGCTTCTGGCAGTTCTTGCGACGAAGCCTCCGCTGGCAGCCATCGTGTTTCGGCCACGAGGTTCCTGCAATCTGAGCTTGCAGCCGTGCTGTGATGAGAGGGTAAAACAGGCCAGGAAGGCTGCAAGCCAGCATCTCCTGCGCTTTGTGATCTGTCGACCTGCACCCGGTCGTCCTAAAAAGCCTGAAATCAGATGGTCTCGCAGCTGAGGTGATGGCTATGGCGCCCAAACTCGCCTCGTCTGCTACTGAGAACGCCTGAGACATGGCCATGCAGGGAAGTGTCCATGGGACGAGATCATGCTGGCCTGCGCAACCCCAGGCACGCACTCCTGGCAAAAGAACCCCTATACATGTCTGTTGAAGTGCGGGAATGGCAGTCTTGTAGCAGGAATCGAAATGCCTCATTCTCTGTGAAGAACTGCTTGAAACGAGCTTCCAATGCCTCCCCTGTGCATGCTCTGCCGCAGCACGGTGCACATACTCAGTGTTCTGCGGTTGCACATGCTTGGTAGACCGAAACCGGATATACCTTACAACTATATAACAACTTATAATCTTGTAGCCGAGCCCTCTACATATATATATATATATATGTATATATATATATATATAATATGTATATCTCTCTTTATCTATGCATATTTCTGTTTATATCACGGGGTCGTTCGGGCCTAGCATGCTAGGCAGCACTGCCGCTCGCACTGAACTGGCCTGCTGGCTGTGAACGAAGAATCTTTGCTATGCGATCACCTGCGACAATGGCTTACGTGCCCTATGTAGGCATTGCATGGGCGCACGGGTAAGCAAAGGCGCAGGGCTCGCGCACATGCATCGAGACCACCGCCACAGCGCTGAATGCAGGTTGCAAGATCTGCGTCCTCGCGAGATCGTGCAATGGGGCAATCGGCCTTTGTTGGCACTTCTCGTTGAAATTCCACGTGTCCTCGCCCCAGCCTGCATGGCACCAGATGCAATCCAGTGAGGATTCTCATGCCGCCTGCCTTGATCTTTGGCGACAATTCTCCCGGCGTTCAGGGCCAGTGTCGCTGCATCGTTGTAACTTTCCATCTTGTCCCTGGTCGTAGCTTGTGACGACACAACATCTCATGGCGTGCAGCTGCAACCAAGCTTGCGGCCCAGTCTTTTCTGCCAGAAGTCCACTGGATGCAACTGCAAACAGAAGATGTGGAGGCATCGTGATCGAACCTTCAAATTATCAGCACAGGCATCCGAAATCGCAAGACGGCTGGCAGAAGCTGTGCAAGAGCCAAAGGACTGACTGCACGAGGACCCTGCGCTCCAGCCTTGTGGGCTTGTATGAGAAGACCTTCCAAAGGCTGGAAATGAAGCCTGGAGGGCGATGCCATCGGCCGTGAACCTGCCTTGAGGGCGCCCCTCTGCGAAGCCATGATTGCCGTGTGGTCCTGCCATCGCCGCAGCCGCCGCATGCTCGGACATCGCGCGCTGAGCCGACGCTCCGAAGCATGCGGCATGCGAGGCCTCGCCTCGCTGCCGCCGAAGGTTCCAACGCCTGGAAGGGAACACTCTGACACACCTGCGCCATGATCGACAGCCGAGGCCGAGAGCCTTGGTCTCCCGTCAGCTCGCCGCAGGATCTGCAGAGGCACAGGCAAATCGCGGAAGATCCTTTTTGTTGCGCTTCGCGCGCCCTCCGAGGTGCAGGCTGACCGTTCTCGATGCAGCCGAGATATTCATAGAACGCCTCGTTTGCACAGGAGACGATGTTGGCTCAGCACATAGACGCATTGAAAACACTCGAGCCTCGTCCGTTGGCAGTGCTGCCTGGAACCTGAGACGGCATTTTCTGGCAGCCGTGTTTCTTGGGCTCTGCAAACTTGAGCTGAGTCGCTCTGGCCGCTGGCGTATCAGGTTCCGGGCCTTTGTATGAAATCGGTCTCTATACTTCTCTACGCGCTCTGGTGCGGTGCAGAAGGTTTTGCCAGCTAAGCTTGGAGCATCCAACACCATGAACATTGCCTCAGTCAGCTACGGCTAGCGTTTGACGTGCTGGGATGCATAGTGCACAGCAGTTGTGTGCTGAAAGCATGCGCGGCACAACAATAAGCAGCTCATAACAGCTGACTTTCCAAATCATGACTTGGTCAGGTGAAATGTCGACACTTCCCACTCGACATCCGCAGCATTCTCGAAACCCGTCTTAGTCTGCATGTCAACTCATTGGCATAAGCGTCCAACTCGGCCAGCTTCACTTTGCAATGTGACGATCCAAACATGCTAGAGATTCTGGCTGCACTTCTTGGCTGCTTCGATCAGTCAGACTGTCAAGCCCTCTGCCTTGGCTAGGGGCTTGCACAACCTCGATCGTGCGGTGCTCAACGGCCTCTGTGATGCGATCCTCTGAGGGCACAAGCACCGCTATTGGGCGGCAGCTCCCAAGTAGTGCTTCGGAGCCCTCCAATATCTAACAAAGCAGCATTTCACATATGGAGCACGCGCAGTGCTCCAAGAGAACACTCATCGGCCCTGCGTGTATGACATGCTGCAAAAACCAATCATTTCGATCCCCAGGGGCAGTGTCAACAAGTGTGGTTATGCTGAAAACCTTCCGCGATGTGCGCAAATGCAATCCGGCATGACTATGACTCTAACTTGGCAAGCCCTGGGAATGCGTAAGACTGCCGCACTTTCCGGTGCGTGCCACATTTCGGAGCACAGTTAACACAAGTGCTAAAAACATGCTTTTCTGGGATGAATGCAGGGTCTTGATTGTTTTGAGTGTTGTTGATGGTGGTTGAACAGCGAAATTAGGCAGGCGGACGCGGAGCCAACAACGGCCCGACTGACTGGGCTGGGCAGGGCAGGGCTGCCGTTTCGGGACGATCCCGAACAGCCCCGAACCGTTCCGAACCGTTCCGAACCGTCCCGAACCGTCCCGTTCCGTCCCGTTCCGAACCGTCCCGAGCCGTTCCGAACCCTTCGCACCGTTCCGAACCGTCCCGAACCGTTCCGAACCGTTCCGAACCGTTCCGTCCCGAACCGTCCCGAACCGTCCCG